AACTAGGAGACCGAACACAAAGAAAGAGAGACACGGAGACATGACAGGAACCAAAGATGAAGGTAATTAGATATCACTAACTGAGAACACAGAACAAACTAATAGACCACAGACTATGAACCTAACATGGAACTGTAAGCTATCAGAGCAGAGGTAAGACAAACATGGAGAGTGAGTGAGAGTACAAAACCAATGACTAAGAATATAAAGAACAAAACTCAGAAGCAGAAATGAGAATTAAACTATGAAGGCTAAATGTCAGAGCTAACTTATTTCAAGCTGAAAATATAAATCCAAAGTCACTAAAGTCAGAATACACAACCTAAAAAGCTCCTAACAGATAGCTGTAGCTCATGCTCGGTGAATAACCTGAATTTATACTCAAAATATTTCATTTGGTTTGGTGAGAAACTGCTTTCAGGGAGGAGGACACATGGCACCTGCTCACGTTGTTGTCTTTAAAGTATTATTCACTCACAATGAAGTGACAGTAAATGTCCAGACAGTGAGGAAAATTAGACTTTTTGATGTGATGTGACCATCTCAGAATAGCAGATCTTACAGAAGGCTGTGATGTCTGCTGCTGAGGACAGATGCACTGAGGAAGTGGACATAATAAAAATGAAAATTTCAAAACCGCGCCACGTCATAGTCGGTGCCAAAAATGTTTCATTTCCCATCCTTCATTGCATTTTTTTCATTGCTGTGATTATTTATCAGGGGGCCTTGGCATATGTTAAGAAGAATCTGCCCAGCAATGATCCAAATGTGATTGACCACATGTTTTGGAAGGTCTGCACAGGTCCCTTAATAAATGAACTCATCATTAAAAATGCACTTTGTATTTAATCTGGTTATGTTTGTCAAATATAAACATTTGTTCAAATGAACATGTATTTGTGACAAATATGCAACAAAATAAGAAATTAGGAAGGTGACAAAGACTTTGTCACAGCACTGTACCGATGCATGGTGTCATGGTGGCAGAAATGTGATTCCTTTGTTGTTTTTCAAATACTTGTGCACTTAAACTGAAAAACTTACAAAAACAAAACAAACAAAAAACACATCAAGCTGGAGGTGAAAATGTGCCAAACCCAAACTTATTGTGTTTTATCTCTTATAGCTGGTGTAAAAATCATTATGAAGACTTCGGTGCTTCGTCATAAAGTCCTTACAATACTTGTTTCATATATAACAGCATCAGCACAGAAGGAAGATCAAACGTTGTACGATTTTCAGGGGATGCAGTGTGTGTTTGTGCCCAGGTCACTGCAGGGTCATTTCTGTCTGATGCTCACTAATTACCCTCTTTGCATTCTCCTGTTTTCACCCAAGGCCAGACTCAGGCCATTAGAGTTTGTATTCGTTTTCATCAGGACCAGAAAAATCCTCTTTTTTATGGCACATACTAACCAGCATACCTGATAAGGTCTTGTCAGTCGATGGCTAACTGACAGCTCTATCAGATCAAAATGTGAAGATTAGGAACCGTGTCATATGGCATCATGTCTTTTACCTGCTAACGTGGCAGTTATCTGTAAGTGGACGTGCCAAATATCCTCCGGCATGATACCCCGGCTAGTAAGCACTTAAAGCGTAGCAGAAAGTGCTTGGAGTGCTCCTGGAGAGTAGAAAAGCGCTATATAGGAATCAGTCCATTTACCAGTCAAGTTGATAAATGGACCAAGTTTTCTTGAAAGTGTCTTTTTCCAAACAGCTTCCATAGTACTTCTTGTGATACTCCACCTGGGGCTTTATGTTGCTTCTTGTTCATTAAAGGTCAGCGTGTAGATGCCGTCTCCTTCCATTAGCAGCAAGGCTAAGTTGAAAAATTCAAAAATATAAATCAAGCTGTCTTGTGTGAGATCTGAAGGATTTCTTGATGATCAAAACAACAACACAGTTTCACATGACTTTCCGCCTCTCAGGAAGTTCATCAACCTCCGTCGTGCTGCGATTGTTCAGCAGCAAAAGGAAAACGTTTTTCTGGCTTTTATGATTAACAAGCATTTCAGCCGATTGTTTGTTAAAGCATTTCTTGCAGCAGCATTTTATTATGCAGAGCGCAAGAAGCTAAAAAACGGATTAAAGCCCCGCCTTAGCTTTAAATGAAATGTTGCATTTTAAAAAATGAATGTTCTGTTCTTCACAACTTCGTGCTACTGCCTGATGAAAAAATCATAGTTTGTCACAGCAGGCTGCAAACACAGCAACAAATGAATCAGCTGTCCAGTGAAATGTGACAGTCGTGCAATTAAAACAACAAAAGAGAACAATTTTAGCTCTCTTTGGAGGCTAATTTTGGCATAACTTTACTAAACACAGTCTTGGTAGTGGGATTAAACAATGTTCACTCCTGGCCATGAACATGCTCTTAGTTTGTTGGCTCATAATGATCCTTATTATAGAGCAGTTATTTATGCAGAAATTTGAAATAGTACTTGTTCAACTATCAGATGATATTTTTCTTCTTTTTCTTTTCTGTGTTTGTTCCTTTAATGTAAAAATGTGAGGATGTAATTATTGTTTTCACTACCCAATCAGCACCTAACCCAGACATAAGTTGTTTTTTATTATTTGCTCCAAGAACATTTTTCAAATGTCAAAACATGAGCACTCTTAACAGCACGGGGTCAAGGGTTATGATTACTTAGCCCTCACAGGATTTAACCTTCTGGCCTGATGAAGAGCACTAAAACTTGAAGCCAACTGCAGCGTAAATGTATTTGTAAATAAAAAGGGCGTTTACCCAAATGTCCTGCTTTTAAACTAAGCAAATGAACACAATAGCAAAGCTACTGAGCTTTTTCATATGTCACCTTTAAACCATCGACAAAGATTTGAAATGTAATAATAACATTTATTATATGAGAGAACATTTCTTGTTTTTGCCTTTGAATAAACCTGTTGACATATTATTAAATTAGCAACACTGAATTTCCAATTTTGCTTTTAGTGTTACTTTCCTTAAAGCCTTTGTGCAGTCTGACCAACTGAGAGCCAACAATCGACCCAGTTACCAGGTGGTGGTTTATTCAAATCGTGACAGTTTTCATGACACATAAAGCATTACTTAGCTCCCGAGACATTTGACACCACGACGTGGACGCGTCGTCATCTGCCGTGACGACGTTACATTTACAACAATAAACTGTAAGAGAAAGACGGAGAAACAGAAGAGATCTTCACATACACCTTGTCCTGTAACCACAGAGACTCTGTAATATCAGACACAGGCTGTTTGTATCCTTCCAGAGGTCACATTGCACATAAATATTTTTCCTTAAATAAAGCAAACACCTCAAGACCCTGTGTGTGAATCTGTAATTGTGTGTAAGTCTGTGTGTGGGAGTCGCACGCGTCCTGGTATGATCCGGTAGAACATAACTCAGCGGTCTGCGCAGATGCACCACGCGCTCGCTCCACCACACCGAGTCCAACAGATGACCGGATATCAAACATGACCACTGACAAAGCAGTCTGCGTTTGTGGACCTTAAGTTAGAATATAAAGTGGGATTTTGCTGATTGATGGTGTGTGTGTGTGTGTGTGTGTGTGTGTGTGTGTGTGTGTGTGTGTTAATCCTAAATTACAGCAAACTGTCATTGCCTTCGCGTCACACCTGAACAGAGCCTCACGCAGCGTCTCTGTGTAGCTACTGTTTGCGTGGGAAGCCTCGACAAGCTTAGGAAGCCAGACGACTCCCGCTTCAGTTCGCCTGAACGCTCTCTCCTATTCGCTCGAGAAAGGAAGGAGTGCTGTCAACCTGCGACAGGAGACATTGAGGCAGAGACGGACTACTGTTTCAGTTCCAGAGCCCAGACATGCTGAGGCCATCCCGTCCGGCCCTTACTTTTCTTATCGCCCGCTGACGAGGAGGACGACGAGGAGTTGGAGGACGAAGTCTTCGAGATCTCCACCTGTAAAAACATGAAATTTATCCTTATTATTTTATTTATTGATACATCTACTCTTTCTTTCGATGCGCAATACTTCAGACAACAATACCGAACGCACCTAAATTTTATTGATGTCTTGAATGTCTTAAATTGTAGGTAGCCTATGTCACTGTGTAAAATAATGACAACGATGAGAAATAACCCAGCTACTGTGTATCACGCCGGGACAGTGTATTAACGAATGGGTGGAATAGCCACTGTTAACATGAATAAAAAT